AAGACCCCAGGTTGCTGCTTAACTGCTATTAAAATACTCACTGGCTGAAAATACAAGACAGAAGGCTCCCTGTGGACCAGCCGGTCCAGTGGAATGAGCCACGAATTGGGAAGGATGCACATGGCCTCACCAGACCCCAGTTCTAATCCTGACCCTGCCACTTATCACCTGGGTGACCACAATGGGCTTCTATGAGCCTCAGTTTCCTCATGTGTAAAATGAGCACACTGTCAACGGCCTCTGTCGCCCCTTCCGGCTCTGGAGCTCAGACACCATGGAGCAGCAGACCAGAGACTGAGGCAGCTGCAGAGGAGCCAAACCTAACCAGTGGCAGGCCTTTGTCTTACAATCCTGCACTCCAACAGGCAGGGCTGATGCAAAATCTGGAGAATTAGGGCTCTCCCAGATCCTCAGCTAGAATCGCAGAGACCACATGGATGCCCGGCCAACACCGCCATGCTTTCCAGACCAGGCCTCTGATCTCCTGGGTCATCAGCAGCCTGGGATTTCTTTTACCAGAGCACTAGCAGCCAGCACTAGGTCAGTCCAGTCAGGTTTACTACAGTCCAGACCCTGGGGGCGAGCACTAGGAATACAAAGAAAAGTAAAAACAATCCCTGCTCGCAAGGAACTCACCGTCTAATGGGGAAGATGTCAGACAAATAATTAGTAACCCACAAGATACAGACAGAAGACAGAAAGTAACCTTTGACTTTCTCCTCTTTTAGAAATGTAAACTCCTTAACGACTTCCTAGGATCCAACGCCCCTTTATAACTGTTTGTTGATTGACTGGTTGATTCTATGAGCTCCCTCCCAGAGCAAGGGTCAAACCTAGCTCATCCCTGTCTTTCTCCTACTGCTCCTTAGAAGAGGGATGGAGGGAGGGAGGGAAGGGAAAGATGAGGCCAGCCAAGTCCAAGGACAAGGAGGCATTCTCCGACAACCATTTAGAAATGCCTCTGGCTCTACCGTGGAGACCATAACACATGAAAGTGGGAAAAACTGAAGAGGTTGCGGAGGGAGAGAACACCCCTGTCCTGAAGAGGCGGCCTGTTGTACTTGGAGACACCTGCTGAAACAGGACCAGAGACCTGCTGGGATGATGTAAAGTCCCTGGAGATGTCACTGGGATGACTAACTTATGGGCCTGAGGGGTAGCAATAAAGCAAACCAATCAGAAGAAAGAGGCAAACCTAGTGGACTTGGAATCAAAGAGAATGAGGGTTCAAACCTCAAAAAGAACAACTGTTAACCCCAAGACAAAGGGCAAGTCACTTGGTCCCTGCGGGCTGTGGTTTTCTCATCTGTAAAATGGGAGTGTATCTCTATCACTGAGTTGTGGTGAGGTCAAATGTGATGTTGTCCATAAAGTGCTTTGCAAAATGCCAGCCACTATTATTATATGGGATCCCGAGGCATCATGGTTAAAGCGCCCACCCACCTCAGCCAGGAAAATCTGGGTTCAAGCCCCACCCTGACCTGTACTGGCTGTGTGACCCGAGGAGAATCAGTTAATTTCCCAGGGCCCAGGCAACTCCTGAAGACCGGAAATTTCAGAGCAGGTGTGTCTATCTGCATTGCTAGAAGGCCTTTCCTCATTTAGAGGCCCCTGCACCACTGAAATCCCAAGTCCAGTCCTGGTCCAAGAAACGAATGCATGAATCAACAAATGATGGGGGCAGTGTGTCTCACAGCACTGTCTAGGCCTCCTTTATACGGACACAGTGTTCTTAAGGCAAGAGAGAGAACCACCCAGTTCTGCTATGGGAACTAGGGAGAGTTGATCGACACCATCACCAGGCCGTAACCAAGAACGAGGGGCCACCAGCCACCTTCAACATAAGCACTCAGGAGCCAAGGGGGGCACGTGTACACACACAGCTTCCCGCACCCCACCGGCTGACACGTGGTATGTCACAGCGCTTTAGAGGGGGGCCCTTGGAGGGGGCCTCAGTGGCCAACCAGCTCAACCCTGGGATGCCCAGGAATGCCCTCTGGGCCATCCCCAGCCTCTGCTTGCAGATCTCCTGGGAGGGGGAGCCCAGGATGTCCTTGGGCAGTCCAGGCCACCTGGGGACAGCTGTCTGCTACTCCCACTCACAGCTCCGAGATGGGGATCAGACTCCCAACTTCACGGGAATCCCCTCCAAGAAGCTCATAATGAGCCAGCACTCTAAGGGTTACATGACACTTGGCTTTAGAGCTGCCAAGGACCCAGATTGGAAGCCCACCTCTGCTTCTTCTCAGCTGTATGACTTTGGGTGAGGCCCCACACCTTTCTGGGCCTCAGTCTCCTCATCTACAAAACTAAGAATTTGGGGTCCCTTCTAACTCTCAGTCTTTGTATGTCCTTATCACCATCTGAGCAACCTGATAAAGGTGAGAGGCTAAAGTCACACGCTGAGCAAGGGTCTGAGGCAACATCCCTCAACCCTGAGCCATATGCCTCTCAATAATTTAAAAGGTTTTATGCACATGATCTCATTTGGTCCTCCAAAGGACCCCCCGTGATATTACTGTGCTATCATTATCCCTATTTTACAGATGAGAAAACTAAGGCTCAGAGAAGCTGTGACTTGCCTAGGAGGGGATGGGTGGAGGTCCATACAGCTTTTAAATATCGGAGGTAGGGATTCGAACTCAGATTATCGTAACCCCAAGCTCCACACACCAGCTTTTGCCTGAAGATCTCCACCAGCCACTGCCCCTGGTGCCAGCCTATTCCATTGTGGGCTAACTCAGGCCGTCACAAAGTTATCCCTGACATCAACCCTAAAGCAGGAGGGTTCACCAGGCCTGACACGTTCCCCAGCTGTCCCTAACTTGCTCTCCCTTCTCATCTCAGCCTCTGGGTTTCCTTCAAGCCCCACCTGAAATCCCACCTCCTACAGGAAGCCTTGCACCTTAATTCCGGTGCTTTCCCTCTGCTGACCTACAATTTATCCCGTGCACATCACATGGGCGCACAGTTGTTTGCTACTGTGAGCTCCTTGAAAACAGGGACTGTCTTCTGTCTTCTCCCCACAGTTAGCCCAGCGCCTGGAACACAGTTGGTGCTTAATAAATGTTTACTGACCCACTCTGACATCAAATTCATTAATAGGGTCATAAGTTTACAACTGGAAGAGACTTCATTCCATCCAACCAGAGGTGCGCTAAGGCCAGCTCTAAAGTGTTAAATTTTCAGGGTAAGCATTTACACTTCAGAAATCCTCAAATGACAGAAAGCAGGGCTTGGTGTGTCTCGTTCATTGTCTAAGAGAATGATGAAGAAAATGTTAATAACCCAGATTAAACTCAAAGGCATATAGGTTCCAGAGAGTCGGTTGTTAAATATTTACTAGGACACCCTTGATTCTAACCCTCTCACTTTACAAAAGAAGAAATGAAGTTCATAGGTGTTAGTGGTAGATGGGGAACTCGAACCCGGGTCCTCTGATTCTAAATCCATCGCTCTTTCTTCTATACCAAAAAAATCACGTGCCAAATTGTGAAAAGCTGACAGCGCAGTGATGTGCCCAAAGCTACAGGTGGGAGATTTTTCATCAAAATTAAGAGGCACGACTAAATAAGCCAGTCAACACTTCTCTCTGCGCCACTCATCAACTTGTCAAAAGTTGGCAGGCTCAAAGGGGGGCAGGGGCACTCCTCCGGTTAATCCACCGGCCCAGCGGGCGGGGGGGGGGGGGGGGGGGCGGGGCCTGGGCCTGCAGATCAGAAGGTAAGCAAGCCTGGAATAAGCCCTGCAGCACAATCTGACAAATTCTAAGAAACTTGGCTGATTCCACTAAGGGAGCACCTAGCACGCGTTCTCGGCTTCGCCAGATAACGTGTGGACATGTACACAACGATTCTGTTTCCTTTCTGGCCCTCCAGGATGGCAGCCCCATCTAGTCCGGGCAGCATCTTCTCTCCATCAGCCCAAGGTTGCGCTCATTATGGAAAAATCGCAAGGCACTTCCAATGCCCTACCTCCCCGGACCAGGACCTGAATGCCTCCTCCCGAGTCACAGACATAATCTGTACCACATGTTTCTGATATTATTTTACAGATTACTTCATAAAACCTGAACTTTCTTCCCCTCCCTTACAACCCAATCTGTTTCAGGAAAGGAAAATACACTTACACACGCCACCAAAATCCTGGAAGTAAATTCCAGTTGTAAATGCACCCACCGCTTTGTTTTACAAGCGTTTCTCCCGGTCTACCCACTCCCCTCCCCCCACTTCCCTCCTCCTTGCCCCTGGAGAGATGATTTTTCCTTATAGATCAAATTAAGGCCAATTAATGCTGTCCTGGAGTCGGTTTCCTGCAGCAATCACGCAAACCTTCTAAGCATCCCCGATTCTCTTAAGTTAAGCCCCCCAAAGCGGCCCAGGCTGGAGCCCCTTCCTGTCCTCCCCCCTCCCGGACCGGAGGAGAAAATCAAGCCCGGACTGTCCCAGCAGAGGCGTGCACCTAAGCCACGCACCTCCCCCGCCCCCCGAGCCGCGGGAGGCCCGAGTCCCGGCACAACTTTGCAGACTGACAGATAGACGGGCTGCCGGAGGGAGCGGAGGGGATAAAGGCGTCGGGGAAGTGCCGGCGCTCCGCAGCCCGGCCGGGCGGCCAGGCGGAGGGAAGGCGCTCCGCACGAGCCGCTGCCCGGCTCCATGTGCTCCCGGGGCACGGCAACTTCCAGAGCGGCGCCCGGCAGGAAGGGGCCGGGGCCGGGCCGGGCGGGCACGCTCGCGCCGCGGGGCTCACATTGTCTCGCTCCCTCCCCCCGCTGCACGCTCCCTCCCTCGCTCGCTCGCTCGCTCCCCGCTCCCCGCGCACACCCGCACTCTCCCGCACGCCCCCTCCTCTCCCTCCCCTCCCCCGGCCGGGCCCGGGCCCAGCGGCGCCCCCGGGCAGGGCCGGGCCGGGCGGGCCGCGCGGGGCCGGACGGCTCAAACTTTGTTGGGCGGCGGGGCCCCGGCCCGGCCCTGCCCTGCCCCCCGCGCCCCGGGGCCGACCTGGTCGTGCTCCGGCTCCTCATAGTCGTCCTCCTCGGCGCTCACGGACATGGCCATGGCTCATGGTGGGCCCAGGTTCGGGCTCCCGGGCATGGCGGGAGGAGCCGCCGCCGCCGCCGCCGCCGCTGCACCGCGGGAGGGAGCCCGGGCCGCGGCCGCTGGGCTCGGGCTCCGGCGCCGCTCGCGCACTCTCCCTCCCGCGCCCTCGCACACTCTCGCTCACACTCACACACACTCGCGCACGGGGGAGGGGGGGGCCTCATGCATATTCATGAGCCGAGCCAGGAAGGGGCCGGCCCCCACCCCCCGCCCCACCCCACCCCACCCCACCCCCCACCCCCGGTCAGCCAATGGCGGGGCCGCAGCGGGTTCGGATACACACAAAGGGAGCCCTGCCCGCGGTGACACGGGGCCGCCCGGGGCTGGGGGGGAGGAGGCCGAGGGGCCGGGTCCCCGCCCCCCGGCTTCCCCCTCCCCCCTCCCCCCGGGGCCCCTCCCTGGCGGGCGGCGGGCGGCGGGCGCGGGACCCGGGCCGGGGGAGGTGTGGGGGCGTGGCCCGCGCGCAGCCCGGGGTGCACATGTGGGGCGGCCGCGGCTCCCGGAACTGCACTCGGAGGCTGGGGTGGGGTCTTTTGTGTGGTCTGCCGGATCGCGGACGGGGGAGGCGGCGGGGGGCAGCGCCCATCCCCCAGCCGCCCAGACGCTCGGCGGGAGCGCGCCGGGATTCGGCGCCGCTCCGGGTGGACACTCGAGAACGGGGGAGGCCGAAGGGGCAGCGGCCGAAGGGGCAGCAGCCGGCCGTCCCGTCCCGTCCCGTCCTCCGTCCTCCTCTCCGGGGGATACAAAGGACGGAGAGGAGGTGCTCCCAGTGCGGAAGCTCCCTCCACCGATGCCCCCCGAGGTCCTGCCCGGCTCGACAGCGCCCCGATCCCGCCCCGATCCCGCGAACTTGTCCCCGACTTGGAAACTCGGCGTCGCCTCGGGCGCCGTGGCTTGCTCCTTGCTCCGGGAGCCAGGAGTCGGGTCTCGGGCGCCCTGCTCCCGGACTGCCCCGCCCGTCCATCAGGAGGGGCCTCTTGGTCCAAGGGGGAGCCTGACCCACCCACCCTCGATGCCCGCTGCTCCTGACCCTGCTTCCTGCCAACCAACCGCAGGAAGGGCACGGGCCCTAGCAACAGCTGGACCCGGGCGTCCGAGGACGCGGGACCAAAGTAGTCTTTCCCTATCCAAAGGCATCCTGGGGAGGCACCGATTCTGGCTTCTCATACAGAAAAACTTCCCTCTGTATGCTGAAGGGGCTTCATGCCACCCACAGGTTCCAGCCAAGGAAGATAAGGAGATAGGAAAACAGGATAGGTCGAGAGGGCATGGAGGTCTGGTTCTCCCCACCCTTAGAACAATGAGGAGCGCATATACTGTTTACCTTAGCCAAGTCACTTCCAAGTCTTCATTTTCCTCCTCTTTAAAATTAAAGAATTAGTCTGAGCCCATTTCTGGGGTTGACTATTTCTAATAAACTTTTTCAGATGAAACACTACAAAGAAGCCTTTTGAGATGCCAAGCATGGGTCAGTCCCAAGGAGGTCTGTCCATCAGGTCTTCAGGCTGGCGACTTCTGTGACCAGCACCCCTCAGTCCTCAGAGTGGGCACCCAGACCCTATCCTGCCTATCCCTCATCTCCATTTCAAAAGCAGCATCTCAGTGGTGGGGGATGACAGGAGGGCCCAGCAAGTCACAGCCTGGGCTTTCAGCTCAAGGGAGTAGGAGGCATGAGCCCTGGAGGCCTCCTGAAGGAAGTTCAAGAGGGTCTGGGAGCCCTGAGATCAACCCAGCTGCCATCTGCACTGGGTAGACAATCCCAACCACCAACGTGCTGCTTGCTCCTGAGACGCTGTCCTGCCCCAACCGAATTAAACCCTAGAGAAAAGTGGATGCCCCATGGCTGGGGTCGCAAGAACATAATGAAACATTGTTGCAGAGTTCGAAGAGACAGTGAGGAGGAGCTCAGAGAAGACACACAGACAACAAATACAACCAAATTGTAAATTCCAATACTCAAGCCTAACTAAGGGGATTAAATGAGGAGACCAACTTCCTTCCTTTCATTGGGAAAGTGGGGGGCAGAGGGTACGAAATGCTGCATGCCCTATCCACCTGGCTCAAACTGTCAGTTCTACTTAACTGTTTTGTTTCTTCCTTTATTATAAAGACAGGTTCACTGGACCAGGGGAGGGGGAAAGAGTGTATCTGAAAATGCCTGTGAAGTAAAAAAAAAAAATACTGATAAATTTTTTCCCCCTAATGTATTAATATCACAATCCTCTTAACCTCAATCGGCCCTATTTTCCTCACCTGAAAAATGAAGCCCACGAGGTCCCTTCCAGCTCAGACATTCTGTGTTCTAGATCCTGACATTCTGTATTCTCAGGTCCTGTCCAGTTTGAAATTTAAGGATCCCACTAATAACAGTAACCCAAATTCAAACCTCAAAACAGTTTGATTTAAGGCTCCTCAAACTCTTCCCATGATTAAGGAGAGGTTCCTACTATTCTGCATTTCCCTCTTTTCTCCTCAGTTCCATGGTGCCACTTGCCAGGTACAAATAGAGAGGCAGATATGAAATCCCCATCTTATTTTCAGATCAGCAAGTCCCTAAGAAATAGTCAAAACCGGGGCAGCTAGATGGCGCAGTGGATAAAGCTCCAGCCTTGGAGTCAGGAGGACTTGAGTTCAAATGCTGCCTCAGATGCTTGACACTTACTAGCTGTGTGACCCTGGGCAAGTCACTTCACCCCAATTGCCTCACCAAAAAAAACCAAAACAAAAACAATCAAAACCAACAGAGGAAGGAAAAGGTCAAGGAAACTATTACTATCAATAAAGAGAATAACAAAAGGGAAAAGGTTTGTCCGTTAATAACAACTCTCATTTCCATAGATTTGAAACTTACAAATAGCCCTCCTCTACAAAAACCTCACGAGGTAGGTAGTACATGTGTTATCATCTCCATTTTACTGACGAGGAAGCTGAGTAAGAGGGAGGGAAAGTGACTTACCCCGAAGTCATACAAGGTAGGTAAGGGGCAGGCCAGAATTTGAACCCAGGTCTTCTGACAGCAAAGCCTGTGCTTGCATGCTGCATCCTTAAAGCAGGGAGTGAGCCCATGTGTTTGGACTTGCTTTTGAAGTCAGTGTAGTTTTATTACTCTCATTCATTTATTCATTCAACAAATATTTATGAATGAATTTAACTGAATCTCAAAAGTCTTGGGCCAAGCCAGACACATGGTCCAAGGAACAATTGATTGGCAAAATAAAAGACCTGAATTCCAGTGTCAGATCTGTTGTGTAAGGTTAGGGAAGTCTGATCTCCTCTCAGGCTGTCTGTAAAAAAGGGGAGAGTTGGGCCATCTCTAAGGACCCTCCCAGCTCCTGAGATGCTATGATTTTAACCCTAGAATACCAAGAGGATCGAGAAAAGGCACCTTTCAGCAGAATCATAGGCCACCCAAGAACCATCCTCTTGTCCCCAATAAATTCAGCCTCTCTCCCTACTGACTCTCTGATGGACCAGGGTGTTAACTATAAATAAGGGACTCTTTTGGCCTGGACTTGTGATTCCCTTGGCCCAGGGAGCTCCTAGTAAAGAAGCTCCTGTGTTTGGCAATTTACAGTCTTCCAGTCCTGCCCTGGGGGGCCGGAGAGGCTATTAAGTGACTGACTTGCCCAGGGTGACATGCAGCCAATTTGTATTAGTTTGTATAACTGAATCCATTTTACAGATGAGAAAACTGAAGTCTGGCCCTCTTCCCACAACCCACTTTCTGTTTCTCTAAAAATAATCCTAATAACCCTAAGAGCTGAATTTACAGAATGCTGTAAGGTATGCAAAGTATAATTTACACTCATTCTCTCATGTGATTTTCCCAACAGCCCTGTGAAGAAAGCCCTCCTGGGGATATGATCCCCATTTTATAGACGATGAGACAGAGGCCCAGACAGTATGAGGGACTGGCCAGTCTGTTATCACTCAGCTAGCAAGTGTCCAAGGCACGATTCCAACCCAAGCCTCCTATCTGTACCCCACTGCCCTTCTTCCCTTCCCCCTTCTTCCTATCCATAACCAACATGACAAAGTCCGCATGGGTGTGAACAGGAGAAAAATGCCCAACAAAGGCCCTCTCTCATCAATACACTTCATACTCCAACCATGGAGAATACAGTCAGCTTTAAAAAAAAAAGAAAAAGAAAAGAAAAGAAAAAACAATTGGCTATAATGATTAGTGCCTATAAATTCTATTCAGCTACCAAGTTCAGGGGGGCAAAGTCTCCAAACAAACTATGTCACAGCCAATGAGGGTATAATAATAATAATAATAACAATAATAACATTGACATAGTACTTTAAAGTTCATAAAAAATAGAAGCAGGGCCAGAAACAAGCACTGACAAGTGGCATAGCTTTGAAAATTACATGCTGAGGTCATTATGTACTTTAAAAAAAAGGTCATTAGGTACCTAACAGAGATGTTCAATTTCATACACAATCCTCTACCTTTGGTTCTAAAATGTACTTGTTGAAACTTTCTGTTATTTGGCGTTTGCTTAGTTCAGAATCTTTTTTTAAGACGCACACTGGGGAAAAAAGTTTACAAAAAGCATTAGACCCATTATGTCATTGGAGTCTCTCAACAACCCTAGCAGGTGGGCAATATTTCCCATTTTACAGATGAAGAAACCGAGGCTAAGAGATGAAGTGAATCCGTCTGACTGAGGAGCTAGGAAATGTCAGAGGGAGGATCTAAACCCAGGTGTCCTTCACCCCCATTAAACCCCATCAGCACTGCAGTTTATAATTTGGAGAACTATAAAGTTGGGCTCCTTCCCAAGCAAGAGCCAAATGCTAGGGGCAGCTAGGTGGCGCAGTGGATAGAGCTCCTGACTCCTGGAGGACCTGAGTTCAAATCCGGCCTCAGCCACATAACACTTATTAGCTGTATGACTCTAGGCAAGTCACTTAACCCCAAATGCCTCACTCCCTCCCCCCAAAAAAAGAGCCAGATGCTAGATTAGGAGTAGGAGAACCTGTTCTATGAGCAGCCTACTGGGACCCTCTAAGGCATGATCAGGAAGTTTTTATTTTAAAATAATAACTGCATATTCACGTGTCTACTACCATCTCCCCAACAAGAAGTAAATGCCTGATTCTGGCATTCGAGGCCCTCTATAATCTCGTTCTCTTCCATTCCCTCTGAGTGTGTGTGTGTGTGTGTGTGTGTGTGTGTGTGTGTGTGGGCAGACATGTACGTATGAGCGTAGAATGGATCACAGGGGCTGGAATTGGAAAGACCTGAGTTCAAATTTGATCTCAGACGCTTACTAGCTATGTGACCCTGGGCAAGTCCCTTAATCTTTATTTGCCTCAGTTTCTTCAACTGTGTGGGTGTAATAACAGCACCTGACCCAAAGGGTTGTTACGAAGAGGATATTTATAAAGGACTTGGCATTCAGTAGGCAATTAATAAAAGGTTATTTTCTTCCTTTCTCCTCCAAGAGTATTTTATTCTATAATTCCTCCCCTTTCACTAATGGGTTGGTTCCCCACGGCAGCCCCTCCCCTCTATGGAATCACAGAATCTCACAGCTGGAAGGAACGCAGAGACCTGCTCATCACCTCCAAGGACAGAACATCCTCGGACACCCCCGCTGCGTGGCTTTGCTCCAGTAAGAGCGGCCCACTCCACCTGGGGGCAGTTCCCCTCCTCTGACCACAGTCCTTTGCTCACAGGTCTCAGGTCCCCTCGCCCCCTGCAGACACCCACACTCCACTCTCTCCCAGTCTCTTTTTTCAAGTGCCCGGTTGAAATCCAGGGGCCGCCGCCTCCTCCATGAAGCCCTCCCTCCCCTCCCTCATTTGAAAATGGCCCCACAGGGGTCTGCAAACCTCTCGTGGCACTTTTCCCAGCCCTCCCCTGGGTCCACATCACTCTGCTGTGACACATCTGTGTCATTTGCACAGACAGCAGTTCACCCATCAGACAGGTGGCATTCTAGCACAGAATGTGTTCTGCAAGCCCCAAGACATTCACAAGGTTAGATTTGGAGGCAGAAGGGACCTCAGAGGTCAGTGTCCAAACGCCTTATTTTACAGATGAGGAAACTGAGGCCCACGCAGGAGAAGCGAACTGTCCGAGGTCGCACAGGTACCAATGTCAGAGGAATGTATGAACTGAACTGAGGCTTCCCAAGTCCAGGCCTGGGACCATCCGAGGCCAAGAGGGGGCACCTGCCTCCTGCATCACTATTCCTCACACAGGACCCCTCCTGTCTCCACACCAGGGTGTACACCTGTGATTCCACTGCTATTAAAAAAACAAACAAACAAACAAACAGGAAAATCCCCTAGAGGCCCTTGGGTCAATAAGAAGTTAAGGGACTCATCCACAGTCACACAGCCAGTACACGTCAGAGATGAGACTCGAACCCAGGTCCTCCTGACTTTTCTATCCACTAAGCCAAGAAGTCTACGGCTGAGAAATAGCCCCTGTCCCGGCCGTTTCTGTCGGCTAAGTACTACAGACAGCACTGGGGCCCTGGGGATAAAAAAGATCTGGGTTCGAAACCCAGCTGTGACTATGATCAGCTCCAAGTCAGGCCACTCGAGTTATCTCTGAGTACCCTCTGAGCCCCATAGAAGGGCGGCTTTGTGAAGGCGCTAAGAATCTCCCACACCTTCAAATGCTGGGACTTTAGCAAATGGCCACTTGCCTAAGGTAAATGATGATTTCTGCTTAGCAAGCAATAAAAGAATGCTGATTTTATTTATTTTCCTACTCATCTGTGTGTTTTTACTAGCTTAAAAAAAATGGAGGGCTGGTGAATGAGGGAGGAGGGGAGGGGAAAAGGGACATTTATTCAAAAGTTTGCAGAGAATGTCACCAAGGCAGGATGTTTATAGCACATCTGAGCTGGTAGACAGCCAAGGCCCTGGGGTTCAGGGAGCGGGAAAGGATGGGCCTGACAGAGGAAAAGATACAGATTTTTCTTAAGGAAATTATTAATGTTCCTTCCATGGATGCCTCTTCCTCCCGGGGAGGCCCTTCTGCAGTGCTCAAAGAGAGAGCGTTTATCTCATGGAAGCTTCTAAAAAGGATCACAATTGCTCTTAAAGAGACAGCTCCCTCAAGAGGCTTATTTCATGGAGGGGAAAAGGGGAGCGGAGGGGACCTTAGGGATCATCAATGCCTTCTTTTTGCAGAAAGTGGGGCCCAGAGAGGCGAGGGAAGGCATTCACCTAGCGAGTCAGCTAGTCAGACCTCAAAGCCAGGGTCCTCTCCATCACTCCACACTGCATTCTCTAAAGGGAAGTGACCTGTGCACGCATGCGTGCCAAAGCACAAGGAGACCCCGATGCAGTCCTTCCCCGGGCAGTGTAAGTGAGCTCCCTAGGAGAGTGGAGGCCTGACCTAGATTGGCATGTAGAGCCCCCACGTGCTGGCTGCAGCCTTCCCTCCCAGCCTTGCTGTGCATCCCTGCTCTTCATGCGCCACACCCGCCTGCCTGCCGGTCCTCACCCAGGACCCTCCATCTGCAGTCTCTGGGCCTTCTGAACATGGCTAGTACGCACTCCCTGGCCCACACCCCCATGTCTTAACATCCACAGATTCCCCAAAGCTCCTTTTACAGAAGGGGCTTCCTGGATCCTCCCCAGCTGCTGGCACCTCTGACCCAAATGACCTTCATATGACCTTCCCCCATCAGAATGGAAATTACAGAGAGCAGGGCAGGTTTCATTCCTGTCTTTGTTCCCCCAGGGCCTGAAACCTGTTAGGCATTTTATAAAGGCTTGTTGATTGATTCTGGGGACCCCTCCCCAATTACTAGTGATATTCCCTTTCCACCAAGTGATATGCATTTTATCAACCACCCACTATGGGCCAAGTGGGCAGCGGGCCTGGTGTCAGGAAGACTCGAGTTCAAATCTGTAATTTACTAGAGTTAAGGGACCCTGGGCAAGTCACTTAACTCTGTCTGCCTCAGTTTCCTCATCTGTAAAATGAGCTGGAGAAGGAAATGGCAAACCACACCAGGATCTTTACCCGGAAAACCCCCAACAGGGTCACAAAGAGTCAGACAGGACTAAACAACAACAAAAATGAAGGAGCTGAGCCAGACGGCCTCCAAGGTCCCTTCCCCTCTAATCCTATGATCCTATTAGACTCAGGCTAGCTAGCCCTACCATCAGAACTTTCATTATTGAAAATTCAATGAATATTTTGAATTACAGGGAAAGAACAGGCGACTGCTCCTTCCCCAAACCAGACTGCCCATCCCAATTCCCCCCAAAGAGAAACAGCAGCGGAGAAACGGGCCCCACTGCGCAGGGGCCTCCTGGGCTTTAAAAGCAGGGGGCAAAAATGAAGGAAATACTGGAAGGGATGGCATCAGAGGCCCTGGGTTCAAATCTCACCTCGGACATGCTACCCACGTGACCTTGGACAAGTCACAACTTCTCCGGGACTTGATTTCTCATTGGCAAAATGAAAAGAGTTGGACCGGATTAAACGAAATTAATTAAATAGCTGTCCTGTGAGATGCTTCCACCTTGAAAATTCCACGAATCTGCCACTAATTGTGCAGCGAGGTCCCTTCCAGTCCTAAATCTATGCGCCCAGGATTAAAATACTGTGTGTTCTCTATATAACTGTGTGGCTTGGTCCCTAGAACAAGGACAAGAGGAGGAGGGTAGTTGCCAGAAATCAGAAGACGGCTCAGTTCATCCCCAGAGGAACTGGGGTTGAATCTCACTGCCCGTGGGAACTCTTGCTTGGGATAGACAAACTGGCCTTGGAGGTCCCTTCTACCTTGAGGGTCCAAAGGAGTTTCCATTCTCTTAAAAACAGGCCCAGCTGGGAGAGCTAGAGGCCCAAGTGGATAGAGAACCAGCCCCGGAGTCAGAAAGACTCGAGTTCAAATTCGATGACTTACTATATGTATGGCCCCGGGCAAGTCGCTTAACTGTTTAACTCGACCATTTTTATATTTTTATTTTTTTATCCTCTTTATATTTATTTTTTATTTTTATTTTTTAACCTCTTTATATTTATTTATTTAACCTTTTAAAAATGGCTGCTTTTAACTCAAAACTTTTAAAAAATGTAAAAAATTGTCTGAACATGTAATTGGGGGAAAATAATTTTTTTTAAAAAATGGCTGTTTTTAAAATATCCTCTTCCCCTTTCCTCTATACCCACCACACTAAAGAGATTAAATCTGAAATAAGAACTAACATATATGTGAGACCTTATCTGATGCCACTCACCTTGAGCCTGGGAGGGAGGTGCTATTATTTTTCCCATTTTAAAGATGAAGAAACTAAGACTTGGAGTGGTGAGACAACTCACCCAGGGTCTAAGGGCCAGGATGGGCATGAAGTGGGATCTGAACCCAGGCCTTCTCGATTCCCAGCCCAAGTCTAGCTTTCTATCCACGGATTGCCCTTATGAGAAAGGCAAAGACGAGGCAGAGAGAGAGGGGGACGGGGAGGCAGCATTTAGGATCCCTCTCCTGGGGGAGCACACGACTGCCGCCTGGGCCCCAGGGGCTAAAAGCCCTTCCAAGGACCCGGGGGAAAGGCTAAGTCTCACCAGGCCCAGACAGGAGGGGATGGGGAAGGCAAGTGCCAAGGAGGTGTAGCCAACTGAAAATAACCATCACACAGATGTGGGCACCTGTCTGTCCTCCTTTCAATCATCTACTAAATGTCAATAACAATCCAACGAGCATTTATTAAGCACTTCCTGGATGAAGGGCACTGAGAAGACAAGGACAGAAAACAAGAGGGTCGGCCTGCATTAGTCAGTCAATAAACATTTATTAGGCACCTACTGTGTGCCAGGCACTGTGCTAAGTACTAGGGACCACAGAGATTGTTGTTTGTCCTTCGTTCTCCAGGAGGACCATGGCATCAGGGAGGTGATGCCATGACCTCCAAGTGCATTGCATTTAAGTGAGGCAGGGCTGTGCAAAGTCACCAGCCTCACTTTCTCCTCCAGAGCGGTCTGGGTCCAGTGGTGAGATAAGGACACTAGGTGCACAAAAAGAGGCAAAAACCATTCCCTGCCCTCGAGGGGCTTACAGTCGAATGCGGGAGGGGAGCGACACACCAACAAATCTGTACAAACAAGCTCTATCCAGGAAAAACAGGAAAGAATTAAAACAGGGCAGATGCAGCCCAGCTCTGCTTCTCAGATCCCAGGAACCCATGATCGCTCTCTGCCTCAATTTCCTCATCTGTAGAGTGGGAATGATAACAGCACCAACCTTCACACAGTCGTTGTAAGGATCAAACGAGTTAACAAAGTGCTACCAAAAATTACCCATTAATACGGAAATGTGCTCTGCATGATTTCACATGCATGACTGATACCATACTGCTTAATTTCTCAGTGGGCAGAGGAGGTTTGGGAGGAAGAGAATTTGGAACTCAAAATTTAAAAAAAAGTTAAAAATAAATAATTTTTTTGACAAGTGTGAAAAAGGGCAGGGGGAACATGAGCTGCTATTATCATCCCCATTTTACAGACGGGGAAATCTAAGGCTCAGAGAGAAAGAAACTAACTTGTCGCACCGCTAAGTGTCTGAAGAAGGATGGGGAGAGCAGGGTCCCTCCTTTAAGTCTCAGGGGCAGTTAAGTGCCGCAGTAGATACAGCTCTGGCCTTGGAGTCAGGAGGACCTGAGTTCAAATTTAGCCTCAAACATGTAACACTTACTAGCTGTGTGACCCTGGACAAGTCACTTAACCCCATTGCTTAGGCCCCCCCCCAAAAAATTTTAGTCTCCATCCCACATTCTCAGAGGATGTCGAATTTCAGAGAAGGTCACCGGAGGG